CAAAATCCAAGCAAATGTAAATGTACATATAAATTATTACACATATAGATACATACATACATATGGTATACTGTCCCCCCTATCAGTTGTTGACACTTTTTGCGCGTTTAAAAAGCTTGACCAACGGACAGACCCACTTCGAAGCACCACGAAGCATGGATTGTCGTTAATGGTCATTATGCAGTGCTCATTATGAATACCGAGTGGGTCGTATGTGACGTGCTTCCGGTTGGCTGGCTCGACATTATTTACCACCAAATAAATACACGAATGTCGCCCAATGAGTGAGGACTCTTTTGTTTATACACTTGCATACCCTGTACACATTGTAAGGAAGGAAGGAGGCTTCTCCGGCCGTATTTAGTATGTATATATTCTCAATCAGCAACTGAGTCGATTTACCCAAGCCCGTCTGTCTCCCCGAATATTTGACACTTTAAATGTTAAACATAGTTCCTCTTACAGAAATTTCCGTTTGTATTTGCATTATATATACACAGATCCAGAATGCTTTACCTTTTGAATACCTCAATCCGTTCATCCCAAAAAATTGGAAGAAACTCACACACCAAGGTCCCATGGTCTTGAGCTTAGGTATTTAAACACACTTGGATACACAACTTAAGTTTGTTTTGTGGAAGAATTTGTTTGTGACGGCAGCTCAGCGCTGGATACAGGGTATTTCCTAGACTGACACTCTTACGTATTAAAAATGAACTAAATAATTTGATTGAGACTTTCCCACACAATTCTCACGTAATATTCAAGATCTGTCGAGTTGATGATTTCACAATCAAGATAGAGTTGATGTACAAAATCGTAGATATAAATATATATATATTCAGTTAATATAAGTTCCAAGTTGAAACGGTTTTTTCGCCAAATAAGATGCGGTCAGTAAATTAGAAAATTCCTTTTAAATCGTGCAAAAACCTCGGATAAAATCGCTTAGTCATAGAATGAAGTTCTCTAAGATTGTCTATATTCTTGATAAAATCTAATGTGCGGAGTTCTGTTTAATGGTTTGCTACTGTAAATCTATTTGGTTTTCTGAGCTGCCAAGAAAGACATCCGGTTTGCATGCATGCAGCTCGCAGTGACAGCTTGTCAATTCTAAGCACATCATTTGTAGACCTCTTATGGACCCCTGACCAACTCCTTGCATTGCTGTCTGTTTGTTTAGAGCCGCAAAACGTGCGGCGACTTGAAAAAACCGCAAATGAGTTTCAACTACCGACAACGTTTTGCATTTCTGCATAAGTGCTTGCCTGGTATTGTTGTTGAAGTTGTTGTTGTTGGGCGCTGGCATGTTGTTGCCTACATGTTGTGGGCGTATTAAAAAAGAGGCATGCGGATAGAAGCCATTGTCATATATCATAATCAAGCAGCTGCTCGGCGTAACTGTGCACATCATAAACAAGGCTGAGAGACTGAAAGTCCATTTGACATGGCTAACAAACAAGTCAAGTTCGTTGCCTGAGTCTTTTGTATATGGCAGATAAGAAACAAATATCCGATTGAAATGAAACAAACTTGCATAACGGCGAACGGCGACCGAGAGACCACCAAAAGCGCAGCATCGAACTCTACCTATCTGCCCGTATATGCATCTAGGTGTGTGAGTGTACTAAAATAGTTTGCAGCCACTTGGGAGCGCTTAACGAGTGCCAGTGAAAAATGAAAATCAATGACAGTAAAAGACAAATTGTGCACCAAGTAAAAACGGACAAAACAAAGGAGCTGAACAAAAAACGGCAAGAACTGCAGCGTCGAGTATTATAAACGGCTAACCGTGACAACAGCAACAACAGCAACAACAACAACAACAACAACAGCAACAACAACAGCAACAATAAGAAGGAGAAGAACAACAACAATGGGAACGGCAGCAGTAGAAGCTGCAGGCAGCATAACGAACTGAAATTCAAGGTTCAAGTCAGTAACCCTATCGCAAGTTCTGGCCCCTCAAATCAACTCTCGGCAAGAGCAACAATAAAAGCAAAGTCTGGGACCAAAGCATAAAATACACACACACAGACGGACACAGTGGAAAGAGACGAGAGCCCGGCTAGGGCTCTGGGTCTAGGGTCTCTGTCTGGGCTAACGAACTGAGCGGAGCTCTCCTATTTTTTTTTCTTAGCGCTAAATTGGCGTCTTTGGCTTGGTCTGCCGCAGCAGAGCCAAAGGCACTTTTTCTTATTGGAGCGACGACAACAACTGTGCCTGGCTCCAAGACCAGATCGTTGCCGCCTGCCGCCTGCCGCCTGCCCCCGCCTGCTCCCTATTGCCTGCTGCCTTTATGCTTATTACCACGCATGCATGACAGACCCTGCGCCCATAGGCACACTCGGACGCATAGCTCTCTTTCGTCTACGTCCACGTCTTCGTCACTGGCACTCGACTCGCCCCCATGGGGGCACATTTGCAGCGCTCGTCAAGCTGACTTGCGGGTGTTTTTCTTTTGGCTTAAGTTCTTTCCTGCTGCCCAGCCATGAGTCAGCGGAGCAACTATGGATTCGTATGAAATATAAAGTAATGGACGCATGTGCCTCGTAACCTGAGTAGTTCAAGTTAAAGGTTGCAACTACATGAAAAGAGTGCGTAAATTAAATGCAAACTACATGCCAAGTTGTTAATAAAGAACGCATAAAAAGATAAATGAGCAGTCAACTATAATTTAAAATCTTACAGCTGTATAGATGAACATTAAATCAAGACTGGGGCCTAACTAGCTACAAAATATGTACTTAGTTTATAACGAATGTGCATATGTTTTTTAAAAGGATGCAAACCGGATCTAAAAGTACAGGTTGTGGGTGGAAAATTTGAAGCAAAACATGAAACTTTGTCCAAAAAATCTTTGACCCCATTCTACATGCGCATTAAATATCCCATTTAGTGTGCATCTTTATCACATAGGTTAACTAGAGTAAAAATCAAAATTAGTCACGACAAAAAATTTTGTATGTAGAGAAAATCTAAGGAAAAGCCTTCTCATGCGAATCACTACTCAACTAAATACTTATTGAAACTTTGAGAAAACCTGATTATTGATTATTCCGAATAAAAAACATATATTTTGTTAATCTTGATCACATTTTAAATTGCTGTAATTGGTATTTAGGCTTTTGCTTCTGTGCTTCATTACTAATTTACCAACTAATGTTTAATTCAATTGACTTGCTTGATTTTGAAACTATTTAATATCATTTGGACCCACTGTACCAAGATAGTGTCAAGTTTGTGTTTGGCTTTTGTTTTAGTTGTTGTTGTATAATACAAGCTAAGAAGCCCATACTAAAGTCATCATTTATTTATGACATGAGCTTTTTGCCCCCAAACTATGCCCGAAAATAAATGTAATTATATAACAACGAAGGAACAGAGAAGAACCAAGCCAAAAAACATAACAACAACAACAACAACAACAACGGAGACTCTGAAGAATAACAACTTGCCCAACTCGACGTTCCAGCCGCAGTTGTCGCGCTCTCCGTCGTTCCTAAGCGTGTTAAAGCAAAGCTGAAAGAAGAAAAAACAAACTCTGAAGAGCCAAAAAGACAACACACAAAAGGGGGGAAAAAAATAAAAAAAACAGAAATATCACAAGAGATGCGGCTGGCTGATATTTTGGCATCGCGGGGCTTGTCCGTGTGCGAATGCTTCCAAGAATGGCGGGCCAGGCCCGATGATTCAGCTGGCGAAGACGCAATCGCAGCTTAATGAATACCTTGCCGATTCTGAAGAAAACTGATGCTGCGTCTGCGCCGCGTACAGCCGAACAGATATTACGAGCTGCTTTCAATGATGGCGTTGCAAATGATGCTGCCAATGATGGGACGCGTGAGATATTTCCAATACGTTAAGGTTTAGCTATTTCTTTTTTCTGTTTTTTTTTTTTCGCTACGGTTTCCGCTAGCCTTGCGCAAGAATTCTTGCTGATGTACCGGTACCGTAAATGTGGGCCAGCTTAGCAAATAGATGGGCAGCTTAAAGTTTATTTACCCCTCGAATGAGTCAATAAAGTCAGTTCTAACTGTCCGAGCATGATTGAAATTGGCCATAACTCTTGGCGTTGCTAATTAAACAGAACACATTTGCAGAGCTGAGAAATGTCTTCTAAATATCGCTAAGCGATCATAAATATTGCTTGGCAGGAATTGAAACAACAAAGTAAAACATTTATTTGTACGCTTTCAATATATGTTCTACAGAAATTATGCGCTCAGCTTGGAAATATATTCTTACGAATGACTTTTATATGCAATAAAAATTTTTTCAGCATCGTTCTGCCACTGTGTGGAATCGAATCCTGATTACTCAGTTCCAACATTATAATTGCTTTTCAAGAATTGTTGTACTTTTAAGAAACTATCCAAATATCACAAAGACAACGCAAGAGATTAAACTTCGAGAACTTTTACTAAACCCTACTTGTTATGCCTTTACATTTTATTTACACATCGAAGTTATCAAATATTAAAAGGCTTTAGTTCATTTTGCCTTAAACTTTGTTTCTTATTTATTTATTTATATAAGGGTAAATTCCCTCTGAAACTAATGACTTTTACCTTTAACTTACAAAAAAAAAATTGTCGCTTAGCTTTGACCTTTATTTTTAAGCATATCAAAGTAAGGCCCATTCAATTGTAATAACAAAATATTTACCCCAAGTCTTTTAAGTGTTAAAAGTCTCTATCATCATCATTTCGATATATCGAGTGGTACCGAAACAAAAAATGGCCTTAATATTGTACACTATCATTTATCGTCAAATATTTCAAGAATTCAATTGGGAAATATTGAAGCAGATGGTATACAAAGACTATACCTATATTTATTATGTATGATGAATAATAAATCAAAAATGAGATTAAAAAAATTAGAATTGAGGTAGCACATATTCGGACTTAAGTGCAATTATATTTGCTATGGTCTCCTTAATGTACTGCTTAGTAATATTAAATACAACTAATAAAGCCAATATTCCATTTGTTTAGTTGCAGCGATCACCACAATGCCGCCAGCAGTCGTCGTTGGCAGCGCCACCGAGAATGGCAGTTCCAAGCAGGAGGAAACTACTTTGCGCTCCACCAGCATTGAGCCGATTACCTCTACGGAGCCGACAACTACTCCGCGCGCTGAGGGTGAAGCGCCTGTGTCGATTGTCCATCCGTCGGAGCTGGATCAGACGCATATACAGCATATTCCGTTAAGGGATGAGCATGCGGAGAGCGTGGGCGGCGATGCCACCACGGAGCAGCAGCAGCTGCAGGAGAAGCAACAGCACCAGCAACAACAAAACGAACTGTTGCTCAACCAAATCTCTAATGAGAACGACGACGATGCCAAGGACTTTAATAATTTTCGACATCCGGCAACGCTCATAACGGCCAGCAACAGCGATGAGAACGAACCCGCCACCAATGAGAATGAAAGTGACAACGAAAAGAACGCACTCACATCGACAACCAGCACAACAACAACAACAACGTCGGCGTCGACGTCGACGATCACAACAACTGCAGCTCCAGCAACAACAACGACAACAACAACAACAACAACAACAGCGGCAGCAGCAACAACAACAACTGAGTCCGAAGATCCCTATCATGTGCATATACTGTCCGAGAATCATGATCGCCTGGCCGAGCACGAAGATTATCAAATGCTGTCGAGCAGCACCGAGGAGGGCGAGCCGGCGACAACAACTGCACCAGCGACAACAACAACAACAACAACAACTGCAGCAGCGACAACAACCGAATCGAGGGCTGGCATTATCGTCAGTATGGAGAACAAGGCAACAGCGCAGCCAGCAACTGAGACGACATCAACATCCCGAGCACGCGCCATGAATATGAATGAACCCGAGACCCAGCACCCGACTGTGCGCGCGATTGAGGCCGGGGCGGAGGCGGAGGCAGAGGCGGAGGCCACCACAGTCATACCGCGATTCGAAGTGGACGCGGCTCCAGTGATTAGCATTGTTGAAGGACAGCATGTGCATGGTGTGCAGCACCCAATCGAGGACGAAAGAAGCAGCAGCAACTCCACAACAACAACAACAACTGATACGCCATTGGCTGCATTTGCGGGCGAGGGTCGCTCGGCAGGAGGCGGCGGCAACGAGGACGTTGAGCTACTGTTCCGACACAATGCCACCATGCAACAGGCTCTGATGGATCTCAGCGATGTCAGCATGGACGAGGAGCGCACTGACCAGATAACAACTACAACAACAACAACAACTACGACCAGCACATCAACGCCACAGCCGGAAACGGAAGTACCGAAAATTGTAGAGATCACAGCCAGCGGGGATACCATGCATCGCGAATGCCTGGCCAGCAACAAGAGCTACAAGGTGCGTACAGAATTGATTGAAATATTTGTAAGGCAAAGTTTTCAGCAGAGAAAGCGAACAGCTATGCAGCTAATAAAGAGGTGTACACCCACCTGGCAGCCAACTCTCCTACTCTCCTACTCTGCTTGTTTTGCCAGGCATGCAGATTGTGCGAGTGCATTTATGGCCGCCTTCATTTTTGTCTGCTCAGCAATGTCTGGCACTTCCTGGCACGCAACTCCAATTTGCCTTGTCGTCACTTGATTGCATAATGTTCAACAAGTTTGGGCCACACATAAAAACCGGTCAACAGCAGGCAGCAAAAGAGTTTTGTCGCAGCTGCTGCTGCGGCTGCTGTTGCTGTGTGCACTCCAAAAATATTTTTGGTGCACATTTCCCTTGTTTCGCAGTTTTCGCGGTTGATGCTTGGGCGAGCAGCAATTATGCAAATATTTGCGCGCCTTAAATCGAAAAAAATGCCAGCAAATTGCCTGGCCTGTGATTGATGTCGTTGTCGCTGTCGTTGTCGTTGTTGGTGCGGACTCATAATCAGGCCCAGCCTCAGTTTAAGTCTGGGCAATCAACGCCATAATGTGACAATCTCTTGTCGGACTCTCAGAATCGCTTGCTGTTTTGTCTATCAGCTGATTAACGCCAGCGTCTAATATCTAATATCCATAAATAGCTGCACGCCTTTGTGCGTCAGTCCGAGTGTGACGTGTTCATCAAACATTGCACCCAAGCCAAAGGCATTAAACGAGTCGTGTGTGCATTGCTCGCCAATGGAACGCAGTCAGACTAGCAGCAGCAGCAGTAACAACAGCAGTAAAGGCAGCAGTAACAGCAGCAGTAACGCCTCCGGCCTGCACTACTGACCAACCCATTCAGCTGTTGCTGTTGTTGTTGTCGACAGCTCTTGTTGATTTGGTTTTAATTAAGCGGTCGCTTGGGTTTTCTTTTAATACCCTAACAACAGCAAATTATTGTGGACCCTACGAATTTGTTATGCTCTTTGTAATTTTAATAGGAAAACAGCGGGCTAATTAATGCGTCTACTCCAGCTCTGTTTGCAGGGTATATTTCTGATTATACAACAATTAAGTTTTCGTTTTTTACATATTTATTCGAGTCACCTATAAATGAAAGAGTATTTTCACTGCGCTCCGAAATTAATTTAGTTATTAATATTTTTTTTTTTAATACTTATTTTAAATTGTTTTTGCTGGACTTTTCATAATCGGGTTTACGGCACGTTTCGATATGAAATAATTTTGCTTTCACTTTTAATGAATTGTCTGTTATTTTTTGCTCGGTTATTTCTTATAAATTGCGATCGATCGGCAGCGGACACGTGCAACATGCCAACGCCGCATGCCCCAAATAGTTTTTACACTGAGCAGGCAGAAATAGCTTTTAAATTGAACACGCTTTATGGGCTATACGGGCTATATAGTTTAGTATGCCAACCTGAGCTTGGCTTTAGTCAGCATGTAATGGCCATCGCTTTATGGCTTTTCCGATTAAAAGTTCTCTGGAAAGCCTAATGAACATTTTTTTTAAAGGCGTTAAGATGTGGGTTGGGCGCGAAAAAATTGCACATAAAGCGTATTCAGAGAAACAAACCTACGCAATGCTTAATTTAAAGAACAAAAGGCTGCAAAGCGCTTGGTGCTAAACAAAAGACTCAGGCAACGAACTTGATTTTAATCTGTGCGTCTAGTCGTGCGTGTGGGTCGTGCCGTCAGCCAGTTAAACCGGAGCTTTGACATATCTGCTTATTGGTGCACTCAAGTCTCCAAATTCAGAGCAGGAAATGTTTACCAATTTTCTTCAGTACCCAGTTAAGCAGTCGACAAATGAACCAATGATTGATGAGCTTCCCCCGCACACAGTTTGTGCACAATTTGTGCTACAGCCGGCTTTCACATAAAATTCGCAAAACTGGAACACTGAATCTATTGTCATTAGCTGTCAATTGGGTCACAGTTCTAAGGCAATCACTAAAAATAACCAGCTACTTAGTGCTTAGTGAGATGTTTTTTTTTTTTTTCACAAGCGAAAGCTGCAGCAATATAACTCGAATAACTCGAATGCCATCAAATGGAACTGAAACTCGTTTTGCGCATAATTTGTATACACACTTTGAGAATAAAAATTATTTATTTTATTATTTTGATTGAACACAATTTGAGCTTATGCCCAAGCAAATTGTAATTATGAAAAGTCGCGAGGGACATTGTCCCGATTCTAATTTTTATAATATTATTTTATTTATTTTTTATTTAACATAATATAATATTTTTTGCAGTACTCTCCATTGTTGATGGTGTTATTTTAAGTCACTTTAATCAAATTTTTTAAGTTTAAATTACAAATGTGATCCCTGCAGGAGAACTATTCCAGCTCAAAAGTATTCCACATTGTGTTTGCTGACTTGCGGCTTAATATTGTTTACTTCTAATTCTAGTTGATCGTTCATATATATTCAGTTCTATATTTGATTTTTATTTTGTTCATATCTGCCTCGTATTTATAATTTATAGCCACATGTTTAGTTGACATCAATCTTAAGTTGAATACCTGCGCATATAATACAAAGGTTAAGTTTAATTTGCGGATTTCTCTTTTGCTTGAATAGCACGGCGAGAGCATGGAACGGGACTGCGATGAGCGTTGCACCTGTAACCGCGGCGAGTGGATTTGTGAGCCGCGCTGCAAGGGTGCCACCTATCCGCGTGGCAGCCAACGCACCATGGCCAATCCGCATTGTCACGAGCGTCTGGTGGAGGAGGACGAGTGCTGTAGGACAATGGAATGTGACGAGCCATTGCTGGAGCCCAGCGTGGCCACAGCCGAGGCGGGCATGCCAGCTGCGGCCAACAGTGAACAGAACGAAGGTGAGTCCAGGTCAATGCAGGCCGGCAGATGCAGAGAAAGCTCTTGCTGTGGCTTGGCAGTTGTTGCTTTTGCAGTTGTAGCCTTTGGTCCATGCTTTAACGCTGTGTTTTCTGTGCTTTTCCATAAACGTCATGTGCTTTCCACACACACACACAAACATATTCTGCCACTTGCCATACACACACACCCACACATACGCATCCGATCAGACACCACACCCAAGCCGCGCAACGACTGCCATTACCAGGGCGGCGTCTACAAGTTCCGCGAGCGCCTGGAGATTGGCTGCGAGCAGATCTGCCACTGCGACGAGGGTGGCGTCATGGACTGCCGACCACGCTGCCCGGAACGCAATCATACGCGTGCCGACAAGTGTGTCTATGTCAAGGATCCCAAGGATGTGTGCTGCCAGCTGGAGCTGTGCGATGTTACGCTGGACGATCACGAGCAACAGCAGCCGCTGGCTCCGTTGCCGTCGCTGCATGGCGGCCAGAACAGCATTGGGGATGAGCACGAGCAGGAGCGCAGCTTCGGGCTGGAGGAGCAGGCGCGCGACGCTAGCGGCGCCACGCCCACCTGCAGCTTCAAGGGCGCACAGTATGAGCTGGGCCAGCAGTTCCGCGATGGTTGCGAGCAGCTGTGCATCTGCAACGAGCAGGGCGTACATTGCGCCAAGGTGGAGTGTCCCTCCACCTTTGGCCTGGACGTGCTCAATCCACATTGCATACGCTGGGAGCCAGTGCCGTCTGACTTTAAGCCGGTGGCGCCCCACTGCTGTCCGGAGAGCATGCGCTGTGCGGATAACGGCACCTGCACATACCAGGGCATGGAATTCGAGAACTGGTCACCCATTCCGGCCAATCTGACGGGTAAGCACAAACAGCACATGCTCATTCAAAACATTCAACCATACATCCTGCCTGCTTAACATTTCCATTCCCATCAAGGTTGCGAGAAGCATTGTTACTGCGAGAATGGCAAGGTGGAATGCCGTCCGGCTTGTCCGCCCGTGCTGGCGCTGCCGCCAGCTGATTTACCCTGTCATCCCGCTCAGGCGCGTCTGCTGCCCATTCCCGAGGATGAGTGCTGCAAGCACTGGACATGCGCACCGCTGGCACCCAAACTCGGCGGTCAGCCGGAGGAGGAGGAGGCGACACAGCAAGAGCAACAAAACGAGGCGGCCAGCCAATCCTCATCTCCGACGGGTAAATATGGCTAGTGAATGCATAAAAGAGTTATTCTTTTAATGTATTGCATGCAATAATCCAATCGCCAAGGCGTCCGCCTGGGCTTTTTTTAGCTCCGTTTGCACTTAACTTGAGTTTAGTTTATTTTATGTCTAAATTTAAGTTGAGCTGTAAACGGAGCAATTATGTTAATTGAAAGCAATTGGAAAATAATTCGAAAACTCGTTATCAAACATTTGAAAGCATATTCATTTTTATCGCTCATCTTTCTCGCATGTTTCCAAAGCATTTTGCGGCTTTTCCATTATGATTTCATACCACATACTAAATTTGTGTATATATTTTTGCGCTTTTGCTACTTATCTTGCGTTCTTTTTCTCTCTCTTTTTCTGTTTTCTGTTTTTATTGTTTATTTATGTTTTTAATGACCCCGACTATTTTTGCTGTATTATATACATATTTATTTTCTATGCTCATACGAAACAACAACAAAATTAACGCTATGCATTTGTAAATAATCAAAATACCATTCAACATGCAACCAATATCAGAAACAACAACAACAACATCGACAGCGACAACGACAACGACAACAGCAACAACTTCGACGGCAGCCAACAAAGGGTTCCATGAGAAGCCAACGGATGTTGACTACGAAAAGAAATCACAGCTAAACGCCTTTTATCCCACGCTGGATGGCAAGCCGCCCAAAGCGGGCGCGGGCGTCTTTGACAAGCACGACAAGCTCCACAAGAAGGCTCAACAGCAGCAACAGCAGCAGCAACAGAATGACATCAAGTACGATGTGCACGAGGATCAGCAGGAGGACGAGGTGAACAGTGGGCCACCGCTGCCGCCGGGCGGCGGCTTCGTGCCGCTGCAGCTGGGCGGCCACTACAACGATTATCAACAGCAGCAGCAGCAGCAGCAGCAGCAACATCAGCAACAGCTCGGACCCTTTGGCTTCTACCATCCGGGAAAGCCCGCCTATGATGCATACAATCCCTATGAGCCGTATGGCATTAATCCGAACGGCATACCGCAGGGCAAGCCGCCGCCGGTGCCTACTAGTCAGTCGGATCTGTTCAATATTCTGGGTGCAGAGCAGCCCGGGCATCCGGCACAGACACTGCCCCAGAAGGACAATCACAATCTGCCCTCGCATGTGAGAATCGAACAGATACTGCAGCACTTGCAGCAGAGCGTACCCGGCGGACCAGGCGGAGCAGCACCCGGCCCACAACAACAACAACAACAGCAGCAGCAAGAACGACCGCTGCCGCCGCATTATGTGCCCATTGTGCACAGTGGAGTGCCGCCGCCTCCGCCTCCACATGGCATTGCCATAGTCGATGGCCAGCCCGTGGCCTACGAGAGCTATCCGCTGATACCCGGCCTGGGTGTGCCACCCCCAATGCATCATCCTCAGCAGCAGCAGCAGCAGCAGCAAAAGCAGCAGCAACACGAATCCTTGCAGCAGCTGCCTAGCATTACGCCCAGCTCGAGCACCAGCTCTGGCCTATCCACGCAGGCCAGCGAGCACAGCCTGCATCAGACTCAGAGCCAGGCGCCGGATAAGCGACCCATCCAGCAAGCAGGTTGAGATCCCACTATTCTAGTCAAATCCCTCATAGCTTATTCTAGTCTCTCTCTATCTCTCTCTCTCTTCATGCCGTATGGACACAGCTATACTGATATACACAATGACAGGGTTAAACTGTACTAACTGTGACTACTCTGAGTTCCACATTCAATCCACACACACTCTCACGCACACACACACACAAACACTCACATCTACATTACCAGTCATCCGCATCATTGTTGCGCTTCTTAGAAAACGCTTAACCTAAACTAATCCTAACTTATACGTAGAAATAAGCGTGAATCAGCCAGACCTATTCTATATACCTATTCCAAATCGAAAGCAAATTTAGGTTTATAAAGCTTAGATTTGCTTTGGAGTCGGATCTGGGATGCAATATTCAATACTTGAACTCTTTTTCCAGGCCTCAACAATCTGCAACCAGATATCGAAGTGCACACGCTGGAACCGATTGATCCGCGTACCATTCGCATTGTGTTCACGGTGCCGCAGGTGTATGTGAATCTTCACGGACGCGTGGAGCTGCGTTATACGAATGGGCCGAGCAACGATACGTCCAGCTGGGAGCAGCAGATATTTGCGCCGCCCGAAGATCTGATTGCCACCTCGCAAATGGAGTTCGATTTGCCTGGCCTGGAGCCCAACTCGTTGTACAAGGTGAAAATAACGCTGATCCTGCGCGATCTTAACTCGCAGCCAACGAGCAGAGTCTTCACGGTCAAGATGCCGGCGGAGAGAACGATAACGCCGCCGCCGCAGATTTCCGACTACAGGCCGGACTTCCAGGATATATTCAAGACCGTCGAGGATCCCGAGCTGAATGTCAGTGAAACGAATGCCACCTGGCTGCAGCTGACCTGGAAGAAGCTGGGCGACGATCAAATGGAGTACGTTGATGGGGTGCAGCTGCGCTACAAGGAGCTCACGGGCATGATATATTCGTCCTCGCCGCTGATACACCGCACCCTCACCAGCTACACCATACAGAATCTGCAGCCCGATACGGGCTACGAAATCGGACTCTACTACATTCCGTTCGCGGGCCACGGAGCCGAGCTACTCGCCGGACACATGATCAAGGTGCGCACCGCACCCAAAACGGATGTCTACGGATTCGATGTGATGGTCAATGTCACCAAGGTGAAGACACAGAGCGTGGAAATATCGTGGAATGGCGTGCCGTATCCGGAGGACAAATTCGTGCACATCTATCGCGCCATCTATCAGAGCGATGCCGGCAAGGAGGACTCCAGCGTCTTCAAGGTGGCCAAGCGGGACAGCACAACTGGCACCCTGATCATGGACCTCAAGCCAGGCACCAAGTATCGCCTCTGGCTGGAAATGTATCTGACCAATGGCAACACCAAGAAGAGCAATGTGGTCAACTTCATTACCAAGCCAGGTGGTCCAGCGACGCCGGGCAAAACTGGTACGTCAGATATTAATTAGTTTGAAATGCCTTTAAGATGAACTCTTCCCATTTCAAGTCTTGCGTGTTTTTGAAAGGATTTATTTGAGCTTTAAGAATCTTGGTAACCCATATATATCTATACTCATCATATGATATTATGGATATTGAATCCAAAACATTAGCTTGCATTAGAACCATTTGACTTTAATATCTTTTAGCCTTTTACAAGCATCATTAATGCCCATATAGACAATGATCTCATGTTTAGCCTCCAGTTCGAGATACGTATTGGAAACAAAAAAAAAAAGGAAATCAAAAAGAATACAGTATATCGTCCGTTCGTTTATTCGTATGAACATTGCCGTGAATACGTGATTATTTGTAATATTTATTGACCACACCCAAAGAGATCAGGTAAATTGCCAAAATCTATTTCTGGTCCAGTTAAAGATCTCGAGACACATTTGTCAACTGCCTCACCATATAACGCATAAATAAATACAGTTTGGAAGTTGTTACCTTGTTATAGACTTAGCGTCACCAATAAAGAAAATTCTTTATACCCTTTTAGAGATTAGCATAGTTTTGTCATGAAATGTGTAACGCATAGAAAGCATATATATTTTTAATCAGCATCAACTGCCGAGTTGATATAGCCACGTCCGCCTCTCCAGCTGTCTGTTCCTATGCGAACTATATTCTCAGTCTTAAAGCTATCGTCTTGAAGAAAGGTCCGTCCCTCTCTTGCATACAGCAAATATGTCGGAATCGGCCGGATCGGATCAATTTATAAAATAGCTGTCTCGATAGGTAGAAAATTAAGTCTTCCATGAAAACCTTTTTTGTTTTTGAAGATATCTTGAAAAATGCCAGAATTTATTGGTTAAACTGTGCTATTAAAAAATGAGCCATATCTTATCATTAAGAGGCTTTAAAAAGGATCGGCTGCAAAATGAGTTTTTGTATGGAAAAATACGCAGTTTTTCAAGAAATTTCCATCAAAATTAACGCTTGCGAGCAACAATTGTCTCTCACACGTATTTAAGGGTATTTAATCTTCGGCGTCCCGAAGAAGATAGCCGTTCTTTCTTATTTTATAATAACATGTAGATACATATAATTGCCACAAATGTGAATACTTAAGTTACCTTCTTTCTTTTATGTATAAATTGTCATAAAGATTTCCCAATCATATGTAATTTTGTGTATTTTTCAATTTCCTCAGGAAAACTGCTCACTGCGGGCGTCTCAGATCAGCCAGTCGGCGACTACTACGGTCCGCTTGTTGTTGTTTCTGTGATTGCCGCACTGGCGATAATGTCGACGCTTGCCCTGCTGCTGATCATAACCAGGAGGCGGGTGCATCAGACGGCTTCGATAACACCGCCGCGGAAGAGCGATGCGGCCTACGACAATCCCTCGTACAAAGTAGAGATACAGCAGGAGACAATGAGTATGTCGGGACATTCGGCGATTTGTTTTAATATGTTTCTATAATGAAATTCTCTTACTTGCAGATCTGTAACGGGTCAATCTGATGGGCAATACTCAAGGCACCCAAACTAGCTTAAAACAATGTTCTTGTAAATACTTCAAAACTCAAACTCAGTGTCAGTTAAAATGATGAAAAGAATATAATTTTCCATTCCCCGGCGCAGGATTTAAAAGGATGTCCACACTAAAAGGCCGCCATGTTGTATGTAGTTATTAAGAATTCTTCGAAATGAACTAAACATTTTTTTTTGTTAAACAATTGCAACTTGTGTATATAGAGAAATAGAAGAGAAAACTGATAACCCCAAGAAACCAATTGGCCTCGCCTGGGGCGTGTGAAATGTTAACGTTTACGCAATTCTTCTAGCGATTTCTAAATGCATAGTTAGTTTAACTTGTAAATTGTAGCTTTACACATTATTTAAGAACGAACAACAGCAGTTCTTCAAGTAACAGTCCATAAATATTTAAATTAGCTTGTAAACGTACAGAGATATGCAAACCTTATGAATAAATAAAATATTAAAACTATAGCGCTCGTTTTTCTTTAACAAAAAAACTGGCTTTATCAGGCCAAATTACTTTTTTTTTTAATGTTGATAATGGAAATATCACGTGGTCCCATTATCAGCTACAATTTCCCCAGTAAATTTATTTATCAATTTTATTGTTTTAGTTCTTTATTGTTTGTAGTAAGAGAAATAAAAACATGCAAAAAATTTGCCGAATTTCCGTATTCATTAAGTTTCAAAAATCACATATCCTTTAAATTTTTTTTCGTAACCAAACATTTTTTTTGGGCCGCATTAACATTGAAATGCTTAATAAAATATTAAGAAAAATATATATATTATTTGTTTGGCCATGATTTTTGTGACATTAAACTGGTAACTTTTAGATGACTTTGCCTCTTAAGTTTTCGATTAAATATTTTAGTTCAATTTGCTTGCAGCACCAACAACATATATACTTAAATACGTATATATATAGATATATGTATATATGTATGTATGTATGTATATGTATATACAAAATGCACAACTAGATTTTGGTTTGAAGAATTCAAAATTCAAAAATTTCGTACACTAATGCCACGCTAAATGCTAAGGCTTTTGATTTATGTTTTAAAACAAATTATAGTAGAGCAAAAAGTGGGGAAAAATATATATGTATATATGTAAATGTATATGCAAATATTCTTTCGCATTTGGCATGAACAATTTCTTTGTGGTTTGCTTTAAAATTCTTGTACACATTAATATTTAAATGGGTTTTTTTTTAGTTTGTGTTAAAAATTTACAGTTTGCGTTGTTTCTCTTATGTTTTTTTTTTGTTTTGTTTTCGTTTCTGTATTTTACTTTCGTATCTCGCGTTCGCATTAAAGTAATCACTGTGTTTAGCCTCCGTTCTTTGACATTAAGTTGGTTTTTTGCTGTGTTAGTTGGTTGGTTGGTTGGTTGGCTTAGACATGGCAGGAGAGACAACATGGAACTTTGGCTATGTCTATCTACTTGGTGCTGGTGCTGGCGCTGGCACTAATGCTGGCGGCAGCCTCGCTGTTGCTGGTGCACTGCTCGATGACGCTGTTGCCCTCAGCATCGCTGGTGGTTGTTGTTGATGAATTGCTATCGTGGTCGTCATCATCAACCTCCGATTGCTCCTCTTCGCCATCATCGCCATCGCCATCGCCATCTCCTTCGTTGTCTTCGTCAACGGCATACACATCGTTTTCAATCAAACGCAAGTCCATGCTATCGAACGAGTCGGTTATAACGCTATCATCGTCGGTTGTGGTCTCATCCTCTTGGCCGGACGTATCGTTATCCATATCCATATCATCATCACCATGGTTGCTCTGCTGTTGTGACGGCGACTCGCTGCCGCTGCCCGCATCGATGCGCATCTCCTGCATCAGCTCCTGAATCAGTTCAGTCTCTATTTCGATGACACCTAGATCCAATTGCCGCTTTGTCACATCCATTAGCACATTCTTGACATTGCGCGCCAATAGACGGAGATGCTCGTCGCTGCACACCGTCGCGTTGCTTATGTAGCGTATGTAGTCCTCCAGATAATAGTTGTTGAAACTATCGCGACACGGCTCGCCACTGGCGAACTGCTGATGGGTCAGCAGTAGCTGATTGATCAGCCAGTTTCGACCTCCCTTTAGTACTTCGATGGCATCCCTGATGCATTGTCTTCCTAATTCGAAGTTTCGATACAACGGATAGGTGATAACACGACGCAGAAACGCCACCAGGACGTCCCGATAGTTGTCGAACTGCTCAAAGTAGCAGAACAGCGGACACAATATGCTGCGCGTCCAGCCTGATTCACAGGTGGGCTCGTTGTTTGTGGTGCGCACATCGTAGCATATGGCCAGCACAATGCTGATGAGACCACAGTCTATTTCGTTCTGCACTCGGCGATCGGGTTGGCTGGACTGGAACGAGGTCGTCGCTGTGGACTCTTCAGTGGTGTCTGGGCGGCTGCATAGATTGTGCAACAAATGCGCCTGCTCCTGTGTCATGGACGTCTCGTAGATTTTGGGCTTGTAGCGCAGCGGATTCTGATGCCCAGCTGGTACCTGCAACTCCACAAAGTTCATTTTGTACTGTTCGCGCGAAAAGCGCTTCATCTCATCAGCGACACGCTCTAGCCGTCGTTGTAGGGGACTAAGCCGATCTGGCTCTGGAACACGGCACGTTGACTTATCCAGCTGCAATGATTGACAATGCGATTTTCCAACTGCTTTGCATAAGCTAACTAGAACTCACCTCACTAGTCTGGAGCGAACCATTGTATCGACTGGCATAGCCATAGCAAAAGTTGCTGGTCATTTTGTAGGTGCGCTCGTGGGCATCAAGCTGCAATTGGCACTGTTCGGTGATGCGCTTCAGTTTCCATTCATGCACCAGCGGCTCCTTGTCCTGCAGGGTATCCGCCAGCGAGGGCAGGTTGAGAAACGCAGCGATATACTCCTTACGCGCTGTCTTTGGTTTGGGTGTCACGGCGCCGCCAGCTGCACTGCCGCTACCCACAATGGCAACGGGCGGAAGGCAGCGCAAATACAGCTGGTAGCAGTTCTCGGTCGTGTCATATTTGACATACAACGTTTTCAGGCCCCTCAAGTCGAAAGTGCGACGGCTATGGAATCTGCGTAGGAGATTGCGATAAACGCTGGGTAAATTGCATGCATACATATTAACGAGGCATGACTCACTTGTATAGCTTGACATCGGCGTAAAAGTACAAATCGTTGTCGCCAATAAATATGTCGACGTTCCTTATGCGATCCAAATTCACATGTACTGCAGCAACTGTCGCCGTCGCCGCGGCCTCCGCCTCCACAGCCACAGCCCCTCGCTCACAACAGGCCACCGATTGCTCAGGTGATGGCGTGGACTTTGGTTTTTCTTTGACATGCGGATGTGGTATCACAACGCTGCACGTGTTGCCCACATAGCTGTGTGTAATTTGTCCATTTAACATATTTTAATTTTACAAAGATACTAATGCTTTTCAAGTATAAACAAAAAAGAATTTTAGAGCAGCAAGACTATCGGCGACAGATTGTGGTGGCTGGTCGATTGATTGTTTCAAAGTAGCCCTGTGCAAAACACCATGGCATAGTTAACCAGCACTGTCAATTAAACGTACCATGACCGATAGATGGCGCTTTAAGCCGGTGGCGCCATTGAAATTATGCCTTTAAACATATAAATGTGATTTATACCTATTGTGCTTAATAAGTTCTTAAGTTAATCGAGTGATTTAATCAAGAAATTTACGAATTTATGGCTGTTGTTGATAATATGCTGATGCAGAGTCTCACATTCACTGCTAGCCAAGAAAATATCATCAGCATAAATTCCAAATGGCCAAACCCAAAAAAATTAAATTTACAACTGTTCCCCCAGCAGCAACACAAGTTGCTTTGCATCTCTTGCCATCCCTGTCGCTCCAAGCGGCTTGAATGCTTTCTTCAGACGAAACAACAACAATAACAATAACAACAACAAGAGCCAGTCTTGAGCGAAGTCGTCAGCGTGATTTGCTTTTTAGTTGTTGTTGCTGTTTCTGTGGCTGCTGCTGTGTTTTTTGTTTTTGTTTATTTTTTTTTCTACATTTCTGGCTCGTTTCATGCTGACCCACTTTTCGTGGCAATACGTGCGATGTCGACGCCGCAGCAGCAGCAGCAGCAGCCGCAGCGGCAGCGACTGCGGTCTGCACAGTGGGCTGCAGTCATGGTGAAAGCTTTGCCTTGCTATAAAATAGCGCTTGCCGGGTCAGTTTATGCGCACTGGTTACAGTGTGCGGCGCAAAAAGTCATAAACTGAATTGCCAACAGGTTATAGCGACGACTGCAACACAATCGCAGTCACCGTCGCAGTCGCCGTCGCAGTCGCTGGGAGTAGTAAAAAGGGCCATGACAGTGACACTTTGAAGTTTGAGGTTAAATTGTCAATGTTGTTGGTTGCTTTGTTGTTTTCTGTTGTTGTCTGCTGTTGTGGTTGCTCTTCGGTTGCCCTGAGCCTAAATATTGTCGACATATTTCGTGGCGGGCACTTCTGTTGTTCGTCGTTCGTTGTTCGTTGTTCGTTGTTGCTGGATGCAACTGTTGTTGCATTTCAATTCAAAAGACTTAAGCAACAAACTTGCATTGACTTGGCACTTTTCTTAAGCCAATGCGTGGCACAAATTTTGATTGGCGCACGCACCGAAATGCTCGCATGCTTTTATTTAGTTTATTAATTATTTTTATTTTATCTACATATATACACTCACTCACACACGCGCACGCTCACACACACACATTCATATTTGAAAAGTGAAATTTTAAAGTAGAACAAGCAACAACAAAAACAACAACAACAACCACAACACGTACAACTGGCCGTGCCACGCAACTTGCCGAGAGGTTCCAATAAAAATGGGGTCACTTGTCGCTGACCAACAGCGCCAGCAGGCGTCTCTCCTACCCAAGTCCCCCCCTCCCCCCTTACCCCCTTACCTCCTGCCCCCCTCTGGGTTCACCATTGTTGACTAGATCCGTGCGCAAGAGTTTGGCAGCCAGTCGTCGGTTGCCGTTGTTGTCGTCGTTGCTGTCTGCCTTTAGAATACTGCATTATAAGTAAATTAATTGCAGTCGCGTCGCATTTTTCGGCTTTAACTGTTGTTGGCCAGTTTTAGGCCAAGCAACGTGTGTGCCATTAAGCAGCACCACGAACTTGACAACGAAAAGGAGCGCATGGAAATGAATCGCGTATTAAAATCGCCACAAGGTGGCCTCAAATCATAAATTGATCTACTATCGCAAATATGTCTAAGATAATATTAGTATATAAATAAATTAAAATTAGCTAAATAATTAAATGAAAATACACAGACGAATTTAATTTAACGCCTTTAAATAAATACATTTTGTTGACAAATTTGAACAAGAGTTCGTCTATGAATTGTTTTTATTTTTACGTTTTTATTTGTTGGTGTTTTAACTTTATGTATCGGTGTCAAAAGTTCCATAAGTT